CTTCTCCTTCTCCTTCTCCTTCTCCTTCTCCTTCTCCTTCTCCTTCTCCTTCTCCTTCTCCTTCTCCTTTTCTCCTTTTCTCCTTTTCTCCTTTTCTCCTTTTCTCCTTCCCCGGGTCCCACATCTCTGCGTTTGGGTTTGTGCCCCCCAGCCCGGTGCTCCCTTCCCGTTCCGTGACCTCCTCACCGGGACTGAGATGAGGAAAAGGGGTAAAGGTGTGTGGTTTGTCTGCAAATCCATTGCTCAGTCACGTGAAAAGGATCCTAAAATAAATTAAAGGTAACAAACACCTTTAATCACCGCCTAAAGCACAGCTTTATCGCTGGACCTGGGAGTCTTAAAAGTTGAACACAACAACTGCTTAAAGGCCAAAGGGACTCAGTGCTCCGAGGGCATGTAAATGTGTATTTAAATAGATGCATTAACACAACTCAAACGCAGCAATTTGGATTTTTCTGAAGTGTAAAAGAAGGCACATTAGTTATTTTTCTTGCAGTGATTTTTGCAATAGGCATTAGCCATAAAAGTAGACCGGTTTTGTTTGTGCTGAAGACAAATCTGCCAGTCCTGGCCATGAGGGGCATTACAATGACTTTACAGAGCTGCTGCTACTGTACATAGGCCAAGTGCCCTTTTTTTTGTTTTGCTAAGTGCAAGTGCTGCTTAACAGCAAACAGACTCAAAATTCCCTGGGCTAAACACCCCTTTTAACAGCCCTTTTAACCTTGAGAAGGCTCAGGCTGATTTTAAAGCTGACCAGTTTGTTTCTTTGCCATTTACCAGGTGACATAATGGCTGCTTTGTTCAATAAATACCCATTTTCCAATTTTCCCCTGGCATTCCCTGTGCTCTTCACCAACCAGAGAGCAGCAGTTCATGTTGCAGCTCTTTGCTGAGAGCTTGGCAGCCCACAGCTCTTTAGATGTGTTGGGGCTGGGAATACCAGGCTTCTCACCACCAGAAATTATTTGTAACTTAATTGTAGCTAATCTTTCCTGCTCCAACAGTTGTACAAATAGTCTCATACAAATCTAACCATGACTGGATTGTTTAAACTGTAAGTGTTAGGGATCAATCCTTCAGAAACAGGGCAACCACTACCCCTGCAAATCCTCTGGATTTTCTGTTAATTTTAAACATGGTTTTGGAGAGTTTAAATTTCCAAACCTTGGCTGTGAAGGCATTTCTTTATCACCAATTATACACATGACATGCATCCAAATGCTTTTATCACAGGCCTGTAGAGGTTGGGAGGAACCTCTGGAGCTCATCTGGTCCAACCCCCAGCCCCAGGGCTACACTCAGCAGGTTCCCTTGGGCTTTCTCAGAGGCTTTGTTGCAGATGAAATAAAATGAAGGTGTCTAGAATGGAGTATCCAGGAACATTGATGAAAGCTGCAATACCTAAAGCAAGATTTTTCTAAGAAAATGAAATTTCATATTTGTATCCTGTGAATTTCGGTTCCTTTATTTACTATTCCAACCAAAGTGTGAATGGAATATCTAATTTCTTGGGAGCCACAATGTCAGGGGGAAAGGAAACAACTGTTAGTTTACATTTATTTCTTCATTCCTGGCTCTGCACCTCTCACCTGTGCATGTTCAGCACACAGGGTGGGCTCAGCTCACCTTCCCACTCCTAAGGGATCGGCTGCCCCGTGTGTGGAAGAAGAAGTCTTATACTGAATTTTTCTTTAAGTTTGAGGGCATCTCATTCCCCTTCTGGAGTAAAGTTTAAGGCTTCAGTGATTCTTTAGTGCTCACAGAGACAGGTTTTTCAAACAGTGTATTTCAGCAGGAAAGGGAGGGTTATGCCACTAGTGCAGAGACATGGAGAAGCATTCCCAATAAACACGGCTGGAAAACAGCAGGGAGGACACGGATCTACAATGTGGATAAACAAACTGTATGTGCTTAGTCCCAACTGACAACACTGAAGCTACAGTCCACAAAAAAACTAATATTACAGAGATAGAAAAATACCATTGCTAATTTGAAGGCTGCAAGTATATGTCAAAATCTGATTAAAACGTTCAATACCACGAGTATGTGTTGCCTTTTTTTAACTCCAAAACATATCAAGTGAAAGATATGAACTCCAAAATATATCAGACTATGAAATAAGTCAATATACCAAATCTCTGAGCATCTCTTCATAAAATACCTGGGATTTATAACCAAAGGTCTTTACATCCACAAAGTCACATCATCTTCTTCCCCAGAGTAAATTTAGGTGGGTTATAAATACAAACCTGCAGCCCCATGATTCTTTTAAGCCAGTTACAGAATATCCAGTTAATTAATTAATACAGGCAATGATACACTTTCAGAATGAATCTTTGCACACACCAGTTTGCAAACCTAATGTGAAACGCTTTTATTTCTGTTTAGTGGTGAGCAGAGCAGGACATCTCACCCACACTCCTCTGGAAGCTTTACATGGTACAGAGCTTCTGTGGCTTAGTGCAATAGTTGGTCCTGACCCTCTCCCGGACACAGTCACTGTAGTCAGTGTTGCATTTCCCACACTTGCAGCTCAAAGCCACGGGGTAGGAGTAGTAGGGGACGGTGTGGTGAGGGCAGCCTGGGATCAGAGCTGTCTGGTACAACATCTCTTTGTATGTGCACACGTTCTGGGACAGAGCACTCTTGAGTAGCAGCTTCTTGCCATTGCTGTCCTACAAAGAAAAGAGAAATGTGTTGTTTTGCTGAAGCATTTGCGTGTCAGAAACTTGCTGGGAAGTGCAGAGACCAAACCTCTCGTGCTTAGCCCGGCTCTGGCATTACTCTGTCCAGAGCTGTAATTTTGAAGCTGCTTGTGGCTGGGGCTCTCTCCACACATAGATGCACTCACCTTGTTCTTGTGGTTTAATTAATCCACTGGGCTCAGAGTGCTCCCAGTGCTTTGGGATCTGTGCTGGCTCCCTGCTGGAAGGGAACTTTAGGTGCTGTGTTGAGCAGTGAAGCTCAAGCACAACGTGTGGTGTGGCTACTGGAGAGCTGTTCCTACAGCCAGCTGGGATAGCAGCAGTGGGAGGAGAAGTAACCTAAGTTATTTACAATAATTAAGAGTGACTAAATATAATCTGCTCCTCACTTCTTCCATCCTGCCCCCACAAACTGCCTCCAGAGGCTCTGCAGTGGCAGCAGCAGCAGCCAGGTCTCTGCTGTGCCACTGGTGTTATCAACTCCGTAATTCCGGAGGCTTGGCATTTCTCATCCATACCTTTGCAAAAACCTAACTTGGAAACGTGATGGTGGTGAAGTTTTCAGAATTAGATCATTTATACACTGTTTTCTGTGAGAACAGGCACTTGGTTTGCAGTGGAGTTACAGAAATACCTGCCTAAAGCAGAGCAAGGCCTCGTACCCGAGTCATGCAGAATCCGGCGCAGATGGTGGTGTTGATGGCCAGGCAATAGGCACATTCCCGTTTTTCCACGTGGATTGTGTACTCAGAAGGAGCACAAAGTGATGCTGTTTGTCCGAAAGTCAGGCCAAAGAGGAGAGACATCACAAAGAAAGGCCTCATGCTACATGGGGAAGAACAAACAAACAAAGCAAACTCCGAGTAAAATGGGATGAACCTTCCAGCCCTTTCCTTGGAATCCAACTGGAACAGTCAGGACAGTCACAGACTAGGAGTAATATTAATTTTTTTAGTTACAGCCTGACAACTTCTTTCCAATCTCAGACCTTTAACTGAAGTAGTACCAACTGCTAAACAGAAAACAAGGGTAAACAGGCCATCAAAAACAGAACAAATTCAATTTTCCCCCACTAAAGCATATTACGTAGAACTTCTCACTAATGAGTGATAAAATGCTGACAAAGAAAAAATAACAGAAGCTGAAGGATTTGAAAATGTGACATGCTAGAGAACATGAGCTCTAGAATGAACCCAAAATATTAAAATAATCTCACTCATTTAGAAACAATTTCCTAAGAAAAGCATCATTTAAAATGTTCAAGAGAGAAAAAGACACAACTGTGCATATCAGGCATAAAACTGGATCTTTCAATTTCCAGTTGGCTTAGAGACGTGATGAAACGGGAACACTGCCAAGAATTAAAAAATAGATTCAAGCAAATTACAACAAAGAACATCAGCAAAGAGTTCAACTCCACCAATCCCTCTTTATCTGTCTCCTGTGCTGACCTCATTTCTCAGACCTGCTGGGAGATCCCGAGAACAAAGCCTTGATTAGCTCCAAGACAATTCCAGGAACTACTCTAGAGCCTCTAAATGACAAAATTTAAATGACAGTGTCTACCAGCATCTGGCCATCACCCTCCAGTCTCTTCCAGCTGCCAGTTTCCCATAGAAAAGCCATTCATTTCACAGTCTGGTTTACCCTGAAGCTGCCACAGTGAAAGTCTGGAAAGACCAACCTCTTGTCAGTGGAATTCTTCCTTATTACAGGAACCTGACTCTGCCTTGAGCTGGGAAAGGCAATGACCCAGCACAAGCTCTGTGTGTGCTTTATACTCTCCAGGCTAATTCCAGGCTGATCTTACTGTTTATATAATTGCATCTGAATTACTGCTTTCTTATCACAAAGTCATCTATTGAAAATTCATACTGAACCACAAAGCAAATGTGATAGGAACAAACATGTCCATAATATCCTAACCTGGAAACTGGAGCTGGAAATCTAATTATTTTAACAGTCTTCTCTCCTCGGGCTTTTAAACTAACCACTGCTTAAAAACTTAGTTTAATTGCTGCATAGGACAGCAACATCATGGCAGGAAGACTGGTATGGAAATGGACTCCTCCTGAATCTCAGATGATGAACTTTACACCTGTGTTTTACTAAAGTTTAATGAGGTCTGGTTCACTCCATTTGCTGGTTACCAGGCAGGCACAGCTGGGAGATGATGGCACAGGTTGCCCAGAGAAGCTGTGGCTGCCCCTGGATCCCTGGAAGTGTTCAAGGCCAGGTTGGACAGGGCTTGGAGAAACCTGGGATAGTGGAAGGTGTCCCTGCCATGGCAGGAAGTGGAATGAGATGAGCTTTAAAGTCCCTTCCAGCCCAAACCATCCTGGGATGTGCTGAGTCCATGCAGTGCCCATAAAATAACAAATCTGCAATCAAAGCAGTTGCTCTGCAGTGCTTGGGTCCAGCCTAATTTCCCTGCTCAAGCAAAACACACTGAGAAATTCACTGGTCTTGAACCTACTGAGCAAATATTGAAGTAACAAGCAATTAAATCCTAATTGACAGGTAAAAACCTTTACAAAACCACGCCTCACAGCACAATGAGAAACGAAATATTGCACCAACAGCAAGGAAACAGATGTCCCCAGACAGGGGAAAACACTTACATTTAGGGCTTCGCATATCACCTGGGAGGAGCAAGAGCAGGATGGATTCGACAAAGCCACTATTCTCTGTCAGCCTCTCCCCATGCTCCCTGTCTGCTGTTCTGGGAACACTCACCCTTCCAGGTAATCACCCAACTGCTATTTGGAATTTGATCTGATGGATGTCTTATGCAAGTCAAGCACATTCCTGATTTACGTGGCCATAAGAAATATGAAAAACGTGAGTCTGGGCTGGCAAACGTGATCACTTTGGGCTGTTGGGGGAGTGATCCAGTCCATCCCAGTTGGTGTTCAGCCAATTCCTGAGCAATATTATCTCCTTTCTCTATGGTTTCAGACTGCTGCACACAGCTCTGTGCCCTGGGCTAATTTTCCAAGGATTTTTTGGGATAACATAATAGAGTTCTTGCTCTATTAACACTAGCCAAATGCTTTTTCTTTCATGGAATCTTTAACTCTGGGTTCATTTCTACTGTATAATTTCTAAGGAATTAAATATAACTCTTTCTGCCTTAGGGACATGAGCAGAATATTAGTTGTACTCTCAGTAACATCTGTCCATCTCACTTAGCAACAGGAGTGTAAGACTTACTTTGCTACTACTCCAGCACGTTATTTAGCTCTGTGTTTTTCTCACATATTTTAGATACAAACACTCAGGCTCTTTGAGTATATACATACATAACCCCAAAAAAGATAATGTATATATATATATATATTTGTGTATATATACACACTACATTTATGTGTATGGGTTTGGTTGTTTGAAGCTTTAATCACAGAAAAGAGTGTTTGTCCTTGGGAAATCTGAAGAGCATTTCAACAGAGACAAAGAAACTGAAAGGAAAAGGGAGCATTTAATAAAATTAAATCCTAGAGAGGACAAAAAGTGCTCAAAATAAGAATTAAAAAGTAGTATTCTTAAAGCAAGGGTATCACATGTGACCCTTGCATGCACAGCTGATTCTCTCCTCTAAAGAGTTCACAGCTTTAGGCAGTTGGAGCTGGATTTGTGCACCCTGGACCTGACAGGGAGACCCCCACACTTGGGTTTGAAGTGTCTCAACACACCCAACAAGAAGAGAGGCAGAGAACAGGTCAGAGTGTGAGGACATATATTCTTTGCTTCCTCAAAGTGCTAGTTTCTCAGATTTGAGAAAAATAGGTGTAAGGAGGGGGGGATTGAGATTAGGGTAAAAAGGGTTTAAGAATTTGCTTGAACAAGATTTAGGGAAATGTCTGCAAACATCAGCAGCAAATTAGAACAATGCTTGGAAGTCTACTGCAGTGAAGATGAAAAAGAGAGTGCAACAATAACAACTATAGCAAGAAAAAAGAGGAAAACCAACAACAATCACTGTTGGAAGTGAGAAAATGTAGAAAACTTGCACAGGAAGCTGGAGAGTAGCAAATAAACTTCTGCCAGGCCAGAGGCCAACAGTAAAGTCGAGGGACATTATGAGATGAAGACAAGCTGTTGATGCAGAGTAAATGCAAAAGTTTCAGCAAGTACTTGTGCATTTGAAAACATAGTGGCTGAACAACCAACTCAAAGATTTGTACCAAAGATTATTAAATAAATCATATAAGGAATAAATATTTTAAACTCAACATGATTAGCTGCCTAATGCTGATTTCAACAGGTCTGGAATACTGAGGAAACATCAAAACATTTTTAAGAAGTGCTAATTTTATGGCAATGTTTAAGGAGGGAGTGTTGACCCAGGTAACTCTCCACCAGCCAGGTAAAATAACAGAAAGCTGATACAGGATTTGAGCAATAAATAATTAACAGATGAAAACATATGTAATGACCATCAAGATGATGTTACATAAAATAGGTCATGCCACACAAACCCAATTTCATTCTTTGCAGCGATTACAAATTTGGTTGTTAAGGGAATTACAGAGATGCAATGCCCTTGGTTCCATCTGCCCAGAGCCCCCCTGTCAGGAAGGTTTAGAGCTGTCAGGCAGAGCCCAGTGTGGTGGATGCTGAATGTTGGGAATTATCAGCCCCTGGAGCAGCAGAATCTCAGCAGTGCCTTTACTCCCTGCAATGTTTTTACCCAGTCTCTGAATGCACCTCAGTGCACTACAGAAACACCTGACCAAAAGAGGGAAAATTCATTTATCTGGAAGGGCAATAAATTAGTCTGAGTGGACCTTGGGACTAATGTGGCTGCTGCTCCTCACACTCAGCTCAGCTCCTCGCTCGTGTGGGCACAGAATCTCCTGGCACTGCCTCTTCCTTGCTGGCACCACGTTATCCTGCCCATCTGTCAGAGAGGCACTGGAGAGCACCAGGGTGACATTCACACACCTTCAGTGATCTACACAAACTATTCAGCTGTCAAAAAACCTCCTGGATCATCCTGGCTGTGACTATAGAGCTCATTCACTGCTGACCTCTCTGAACACTTGATGGGAACGAGATCCCACAACCTACAGGGAGCAGCAGGACAAAAGACTGGCAGGACAACCAAGTCCAGTGTCACAACCTGTGACTGCCCGAGGCTTCTTCCATACAGTTTCCCAAAATCCATC